TGGGACCTCTGACCACTGTGCCCTTTACTACCAGAGCTCCCTGTTGCTTAAACTTCTCATCGGGACTACATAAGACCCTCTTTCTGTCTCTCTCTCTAAGACTTTCTGTCATGGCTATCTCCCACCCAAATACTGTGGAAGGGTGTCCAAAAGAGTCCCTGAGCCATGATTGGTCTTTGTTTTCAAGACCCCAGAGAAGTTCATTCTCAATAGGTCCCCTCTCAAGATGGTACCTCGCTGTAGTTCTCTGAGATAAGGGGAGACATAAAATGTCTTTCTTCACCGAGTCTAGCCTTCCACACCAAGCTGCCTCTCCAAATCCTGCACTGAGTTTAAGGCTTGTGAGAAGTGTCAGTCTGTCACCAGGTCCTTCTGGTTTATCTTGTGATTACTTCTTGTCTTTCCCTTCCCAGAAGCCAGGGACAGAGCTTGGAACTTTTTTCTCCATTACTGTATTGTCTTTCTGTTTCTGATCCTGCCACATTGTTCATGATTTCCGATGAAAATCCTCTACAAAATACTAGAGAAATGAATTCAACAACATATCGAGAGGATCAGTCATGTGGCTTTATTACTAACATGCAGGGATCATTCAACATACATAAATCTAGAAGTTTGAGGCCCCACATTAAGAGAATGGAGAGAAAAAATACATGGTCATTTTGTTAGATGCGTTAAAAGCATTTGACAAAATTTAACGTCCTTTCATGATTTAAAAAAAAACTCTTTGTTGAAACTATTCCAAGAATGGGGGGGAGAGGGATAAAGGAGAATGATGGAGGGGGGTTAATTAAACTATTTATGTTGTAAGAAATTTTGTAAATGTCACAATTTACCCCTAGTACAGCAATAATAAATAAATAATTTTTAAAAACTCTTATAGGCACAATAAAGAAGAATGAGATTATTTTGTTTGCAGAAAAATTGATGGAGCTGGAGATCATCATGTTAAGTAAGATAAGACAAGCTCAGAAAGACAAATACTGTTTTCACTTGTGCAGAATTTAGATCTAAAAAATAATAATAATAATATATGATTATAAAAGGGAGACTGTTTGGGGGAGAATGAGAGGGAAGAGGGAGGGGGAAAGAAGAGGGTAATGGGGAGTGCATATGATCAGTACAATTATATATATGTGAAAATAACAGTGAAACCCACCAAAAACTGTTTAAAAGAGGGAGAGGGGCAGGTGTTAAGAAAGGGTGAATTTGATCAAAGTACAGTAGATGTATGATATAAATATCACAATGAAACCCCATTGTACAATTAATTTATGTTAATAAAAAATTAAGTGAAATTGTCTCTGTATGCTGATGACATGGATCTATATACATTTATTATAGAAAACCCTAAAGACTATCAAAAACTATTAGAACTAATAAATTTACTAATGTTGCAGAATACAAAATCAATATACAAAAGTCAATATTATTTCCATTCACTAACAACCATTTGAGAAAGAAATCAAGAAAGCAATTTTATTTATAGTAGATATTTTAAAATAGGAATGTGTGTCAGTTGCCAGTGGCTCACACCTGTAATCCTAGCTACTTATGAGGCTGAGATCAGGGGATTGTGGTTTCAGGCCAGCGAGAACCCATCTCAATGGAAAAAAAAAGAAAAAACTGGGCATTGTGGTGCACACCTGTCATCCCACCTATAGCGGATGAAGGATACTCCATGTTCATGGATTGGAGAAATTACATTATTAAAATGCCCATAGTATCCAAGCAATCTATAAATTTAAGAGATCCCTATTAAAATTCCAATGTCATTTTGCATAAATATAAAAATATTCTAAAACTCATATGAAATCGCAAAGACTCCAAATAGGAATAGGGCATTTGCTTAGCATGCACAAGATAGTATCTGACTTCAAAATATATTACAAAGCTATCGCAATCAAACCAGCATGATATTGACATAAAAACAGACAAATTGAGTATGCAACAGAATAGACAACCCATAAACGAACCCACACATTTACAGTCAATTGGTTTTCAACAAAAGTGTCAAGAGCACACAATAAAGAAAAGGAAGTCTCTTCAGTAAACAATGCCAGGAAAAGAATGAAATTGATCCCTTATCTCACACTACGTGCAAAAAATCAACTCAAAATGTATTAAAGACTTAAATGTAGGATTAAAATACTAACACTACTGGAGGAAAACAGGGGAAAAGCTCCCCACCCCTGATCTGAGCAATATTTTTTTATTTGACCTTAAAATCATAAATAAAATAAGAATAGATAAGTGGAATTACATCAAATTAAAAAGCTTCTGCACAATAAAGAAATAATTAACAGAGTGAAAAACCAATCTAAAGATTGGGAAAAATATTTGTAAACCATATTTTCAGTAAGATGTTAATACCCAAAATACTATTTTGGATACTTATGTATCAGATGTACTATGTACTAATGATACTTATGTATCAATAGTAAGCAAGCACTCTTATTTTTAAAATAGACAAAGGAAACTGCAGTAGTTACTTTTATTATGGTTGCAATAAAATACCTGAGAAAACAACTTAAAGGGGCAAAGATTTATTTTGGCTCACAGTTTCAGAGGGTGCTTACTGGTTTCACATTGTGCTTTTACTTTGTATTTTTTTCCCAGCAATGTTGGGAAGTTGTTCATATACCTATGAGCTATTCTATCGTCCTTTTAAAGTTTCTGTTGAAGTCTCTTATCCATTCTGTAGTTACTGCTTGTTTTTTTTTATTGTGGTGATAGGAGTCATTTATATATATTCTGGATGCAAAGCTTTTGTGGGATAGAAATGTGTCACAAATATTATTCCTCTGGAATGGTGGGTAGAGCTCTGAGACAGAGTAAGACACAGAAACAAAAAGTTTATGGAACTTTTTAAAAAATCCTGATGAAATCTAATTTTAAACATTTAATTTTGGATCATCACAACTATGTTCATAGAAAACATTGACTCTTTTGCTGTCTATCTGGTGCTCTAAAATTTTTCTGCATTCATTGTATTAGTTATCTACTGCTATATTAAAAATGCCCCAAAACTTAAACCATACACATTATTTCATAGCTTGAGGGGCAGGAATTCAGGAGTATCCTAGCTTGGTGGATCTAGATGAGGGTCTCCCATGAGATCACATCAATCTTTCTGCTTGGGCTTCAGTCATTTCAAGATTAGGGTGGGTCTGAAAAATCTTCCATGTTCATTCATGTGTTGGTTAGTAGGCCTCAGTCTTCACAAACTGTTGGCTAAAAAGCATTATTCATTAATTGCTGAGAGAGAGAGAGAGAGAATTCCCAAAATGGAATATGCAAACTTTTATCACCTGATCTCATAAAGTGCTTTCACTCCTGCAATATTTTATTGGTCACACAAACCCACCATGGAAACGTGGTAAGGGACTACACAAGGGTGTGAAGATCAAATGGTGACAGTCACTGGGGGCCATGTTGAAGGGTGGCCACCCCAACCGCAGAATAAATAAAATGGTTCTCCCTTTTTCTTCTTCTCTACAATGGCTATTTTAATACATCTAGTTGCTGTTCTTAGAGTTGGTTGAAGTAGTGAGAAATATTTTCTTAGTTCTATGACTTTTTCCAGGAAATGATCAAAATATAATTTTGTCTTCTTTTTTATTGTGATCCAACCAAGTTGTTTCTTTCCTCTAGAACCACAGAGCATAGAGAAATGTGGGGCCAGCTCTCTACTCTCCCTGGCTTCAGAAGGCCAGCTCTTGTTACTCCTGCTCCAGGGAGTCAGAAACACCACCACCCTCGTGTGGTGTTGGCCTCATGGTCAAGAGGATGTCATAAACATGACCCACCATGGCAATATTCTTTTAGATATATTCTTTTAGAATATTTTAAGATAGAAAAAATGGTGTCTTAGGAAAAAAGAGAAATGAAGGTTTAAAATCACTCCAGCAGGCAATGAATGGCCCCTATTTGTGGAGAATGTGCTCTGGCTGTAATGCTGCTGTTTATTGTACACACCCTGCATCCTCCAGTACTCTAAATACTGTGAGAAAATGATCTTGTTGCCACTTTCAGATTAACAAATGATATTTAGGTGAGCTAAAGTCACTTATCAAAATATCACAGAGCCAGTACTATTAGACTCTTAACATAAATTCAAGGATTATCAGCTCCAAAAGTCTTTCCTTATACTCAATAAGTGTAGGAGGGAAGCCTGATCTCTAGGTCCTACCTCGTTGTCTCTCACACCACCCACACTCTCAATGAATCACAGATGCAGAACGTATACAGAGAAATATACTTATTTGTTTATTCACTGTTTATTGGCATTTCCTAAGAGCTTCCTGTGTGGTAAGCATTTGCCAAAAGTTGGCAAATTCTCCCCACAGGATCCAAGCCTCAGAGCAGAAAGATAATTCCCAGGCCACACGAATTCAAAACCTCCTCGGAATGACAGGAATCAGGCTGTGAGAGAAAATGAGATAAAACCTTCAGCATAGGAACCAATCAAATCATTTCCATATTCTTTCCCACAAGGAAACTCCACCCCCTGCAATAGAGAGAATGACAAGACAGTGCTGTGGTTGGAAGAGTTTCAGTATCAGGAGAATGAGTTCCAGTCTTGTTTTCACTATAAAACTCAAAACTCAGAGCATAGACTCTCCTCAAATCCCACTGACCATTTGGGCTTTAACCTTAGACTCCATGATATAAATAACCTAAATAACAAATGCTTAGTGTATACAGTATTTTATAAACACTTTCAATTTCATTATGTCTATTTACAGATGAGGAAACTGAGACTCAGAAGGTCATTTGCCCAGAGACCTCACCTAAACAGGCTGGAGCAGAATCAAAGCCACAAGCGACCCTGTGGAAATTCTTTCCCTGAGACATGGGAAGCAGTGCCCTTGAAGGACAAGGGGGTCAAGCAGAGGCTCTGCTTGGGGTAAAGGTCTCTCTGCCCATATGCCTGGACCTCCAGAGGGCTGAAGCTAAGAAAGAGAGAATGGTATTTATCTGTCCCAGCTCCATCTTACCTGCCACAGGGGGGACACAGGCTTTCCCACACATGCCCTTGCAGCACTTGAAGTCGCGATCACACTGGCTGTCTGTCTCACAGTGGTTGGGAGGGTTAAGCATCAGACATTCACCATTGACCACTGGGCACATCCCAGGCTTCGTTTTCACTGGTGAGAGCAGAGCTACAGGTCAGAGACCTTGTACTTGAACCCAATCTCTACTCCAGCTTGAAAAGGGAGGATCATCTCCTCCATCCCCACTTCCACTGTCTCCTCCCAAAGGCATCCCTTCAAATATCACCTGGCTCCCCTCTAATTTCTGGCCCCCAGTTGATGACCATCTGTCCAGTACTGACTAAATGGGTGGCTTCCAAGTGATTAGTTGCCTGAATGCCCAGATGATTATCTGGAAGACATTCTAGTGAAAGATTAACTGCTTCAGCTAGGCAGCTAACTACCCGCCTGGGGCACATGAGGCCTTGACTAGCTGACACACTGGGCTCCATAGCTCATGGAAAGGAGGAGGCTAGGAAAGATTTCTTCATCTAACCTGTCCCCCCAGACACTGGGTCTTGAGGCTTTTTCCTCTCCACCCAGCTCCTCCACTGGCTTACCTGGGTTTGAGATGGGAACAGGATCTAGGCATTTAATGCCACAATAATCAGGACAACACTTTCTCTTCTCTGGACACTGCCAGTCATTCTTGCACTGAGGTTTCTTGTATCTAAAGCATTTAACAGGTTTTCTAAAAGGGCAGGTTCCAGCTTTCATAGATTCTGAAGAAAAAGTCAAGAAGATAAGAAGGGTTAGGTGCTGAATAGCCATGACTCTTGAACAACATACCACTTTCTAGGATGAGAGAACTTCACTGTGGTGACTATCCACAAATTCAAAGTCAAATGCCTGTCTGACCTCCAGGAAAAGTGACAGCCTTGATCAAACCAGAACCGGCCAGCAGAAAATTTCACAGACCTAGGAAAAAGATGAGGGCTCCCAATCAAAATCTTCTACCCAAGGGCCAAACAAGGTTACACAGAGGCAAAGGAGAAGGCTGGGAGTGATGGCGATCGAGAGAAATAAACAAAGATAAATGGAACCAGCATAACCGATGTTGAGAACTAAAGCCAGATGCAGAAATACAAAACCTGAAAAGAGGAACAGAGAGAGAGAAAAAAAGGACTAGAGAGAGTCAGAGATTAATGGATACAGAGTCATAGTGTTAGAAAGTGATGAAAGAGAGAACAGTGACTGTGTGAGACCTGTGCTAAGTAAAGGCAGAGTAAAAGAAACATTTCCACATGCTCAAAAACTTCACAGAGACCTTGGATCCTAGTTAGACATGTATTCACCTTCAGGGAGTTCTCCTGAAACTAATCTGAGAAATCTGAGCCTAGGGAAGGTGATATTTCCCACAATTGTCAGATACTCCCACCTCTGACATCCAGCAAAGATTGGGCCAAAATGACTTCAACTCACCATTTCCAGAAACTTCCACAGACCAAAGTGCCATGGTTGCCAAGGCAAGAAACACCACAAGGGGGAAGAGGCTTCTGAACTTCATGGTGAAGTCTGAGTGACTCTGATGACCAATACCAAACCTCACTATTTATAGCTTTACCAGTAGGTGTAGCCCCAACAGAATGTTTGGCTCAGCCCAGCTGCTATTGCATAAGGAGGAAGCTTAACTGAAAACCAAAATCCTCATATGTGGGAGGTGTTGGCCCTTTTGTTTCAGGCAGGACTGTGAGGCCAAATGAGTAACTACCAGAGGAGAAAGAAAGGAGGTTGATTCTGAGGTATCACTGAGAGGTATTCCAGATGTCCACCTGAGCCCCGAACATCGTGAAGACCTGAAGCCTGTTGGCTTCCCAGGTGGAGAAAGGCTAGTAAGGGTCAATCGCAAACGTGCCACCTGGACCTTGAGCTGAAACAGGACATGTGGACTCTCAGCTGAGTCCGTGTGCAATACATCCCTAGTTCTCACATTCCTGGACTCTCTGGGAATTTGTGAGACTTGCTCAATGCAAGTTCCGTCTCAAAAGTGCAGATGACACATCTCAGAACCAACAGATGCTTATTTCCCCCCAAAATTTGCACCATTATGTCCCCAGGGATTATTCCATGATTGAAACATGGAAAGAATTCCCTAAACAAATGAAAGATACCCAAAGAACAGCCCTGCCCTCAGCAAATCTCTTTGGAGCTCAGTTTTCCAGCCAGAAAATGGGATAATGCTAACAGTCAACCCTTCTTAAGGGGTTATGAGATTAGGAATAAAGTATATTTATTTTAAGAGAGTAAATGACTCATACCCCTTACCACTGAAGATAATTGAAATGAATTTGAGGTAAAGTGGCTTACCAGCTACTATAATGAACATTTAGCTATAGTGTAATTTGTGATATTGGAGGAATGCTTCTTATCCCTAAATCCTCTACAGATCTCAGATGACAGCTAAACTTAATGTGTGCCATAGATTAAACCCATTTATATGCTGCCTTAACTGTACAGATTGCTTCTAATTTCCAGAGAGCAATCGTTCTCTCCAGAATAAAACCCAAATTCCTCTGACTGCAAAGTAAAAGCTCTTGCCTCACCATCAAGTAACCTCTTGATGCTTGGGAATCTATCATTCATCGAAGTGAAGGTTTGTGGAAGTACAGATAGACATGAAAAAGCCACATGTAATCAAGCAGTGATGGCTCCATATGAAGCTATTTGGTAAGTACTGTCCAATCAGGCTGTCAACTGGCAGCATATCTCTTTATTCAGAAGTCAATCAGTAGTTTAAATTTTGAGTGGAAAAAGAAAAAGAAAAAATTAGAATATACTGGGTAACTGATGAGCCAGGTGTATTTACTCCTAGCTAGTACCCGGGAGGGAAGGTAAGAGAGAAAGGAAGGGTCTGCCATCCACCAATGAGCAAGTCATTATCAGGTTGGGGGTTTTGCCCTCACTTGCTTCTCTCAGGGGTCAATTTGATTTTTCCCACATAACTCCTGCACTTCCTACTCCCTGCTTCTCCTATCTTCCTCAATGCTAAAAGAGTATCTAGATTTTTCTGAATATTTGTTTTTAAAAGAGCAGAAAGGAGAATGCTACAACTAGTGTTTTCTATATATGATAGATGATTGATTGATTGTTAAAAGCCAGCTCTTTCTCATCAGAAAGGAATCCTGTGACTAATCAAATGAAGATAAACCAACATTTCTGTTCTTGAAATGATTGATTTAAATCTGTAAATAGAATATTAAGATTAAAGGGAACCTCAGAGGTTATCTAATCAAAGATCAGCAAACACACTCACTGGGCCAAATCCAGCAGGGTGCCTACTTTTATAAATTAAGTTTTATTGGAACATACCCACATAGTCACTCATTTATGATTGTCTATTACTATTTTTCCCACTACAATAGCAGAATGGAGTAGTCACAACAGAGATGTGAAATATTTTCCACAAAGCCTAAAATATTTATTGTCTGGTCCTTTACAAAAAATATTTGCTAGCCCCTGATAGACCAAACCTCCAGCTTACAATAAAAGAGACTAAGTCCCTCAGAAAAGGTACAAGCCCAAAGTTGCATAATAAGTTAATTATACAACATTAGACAGGGCTTTTCTAAGGCAGGTTAGTCACATGCAGACCTCAGACCTGCTTGATGGTGGACACTCCCCCTCCAAACCCAATCTTAACCTGAGATTGACTCACTAAATTTACTTCATATGTTCTTTATTGCCTTCTACTATAGACTTATTCATTCATTCACACAAAAATGATTTAACAATTTCTTACCAGACACTAGGTATTGTAGTAGGCCCTGAGGGTACAGTGAATAAGATGCAGAGAGCCAAAACCACATGGTTGGAAAAACCCGAACTTCAAAGTTAGACTTACATAATTAAGCCTGAGTTGGAGAAAAATCACTGGGACCTCTCTGAGCTTGTTACCTCAGCTGTAAATGAGAACATTGATTTCTCCTCTATCTTATGGATGTGGTGAGGAGCATTTGGCAAGCACTCGGCATGTTGTCTGGCCCTATGAATACAGTAGACGTTATTTTTATTACAGCCAGTTCCTGCATTCCCTAGGCACACAGGGAGCTGTCAATCTCTAACTTAAGGCTTAATCTTTGAATCTGGACCCATGTTTCTCTGTCCCTTTAAATGTTTGACAAAATCTGACTCCATACATAGCATGGTTCTTCTTCTCTTGAGACCATTGGTTGCTGTAACCTCCTTGGTTCCACAGTTTTCAGTACCACTTATTTGTCAGGTCCATCCTTCCTTGTAAGGCACAGCATGGTTTAAGCCTCTGAATACTGGCTTCCCATGAATATCTCAAGAGTTGTTAGTATGCTGGAAAAAATTTAGATGCTACTTAAAAAGCTAAACATTGATCTACCATATGATCCAGCAACACCACTCTTGGGGATATACCCAAAAGGCTGTGACACAGGTTACTCCAGAGGCACCTGCACACCCATGTTTATTACGGCACTATTCACAATAGCCAAGTTATGGAAACAGCCAAGATGCCCCACCACTGACGAATGGATTAAGAAAATGTGGTATCTATACACAATGGAAATTTTATGCAGCCATGAAGAAGAACGAAATGTTATCATTCGCTGGTAAATGGATGGAATGGGAGAACATAATTCTGAGTGAGGTTAGCCTGGCCCAAAAGACCAAAAATCATATGTTCTCCCTCATATGTGGACATTAGATCAAGGGCAAACACAACAAGGGGATTGGACTATGAGCACATGATAAAAGCAAGAGCACACAAGGGAGGGGTGAGGATAGGTAAGACACCTAAAAAACTAGCTAGAATTTGTTGCCCTCAACGCAGAGAAACTAAAGCAAATACCTTAAAGCAACTGAGGCCAATAGGAAAAGGGGACCAGGAACTAGAGAAAAGGTTAGATCAAAAAGAATTAACCTGGAAGGTAACACACACGCACAGGAAATTAATGTGAGTCAACTCCCTGTATAGCTATCCTTATCTCAACCAGGAACACTTGTTCCTTCCTATTATTGCTCATACTCTCTCTTCAACAAAATTAGAGATAAGGGCAAAATAGTTTCTGCCGGGTATTGAGGGGGTGGGGGGAAGAGGGAGGGGGCGGAGTGGGTGGTAAGGGAGGGGGTGGGGGCAGTGGGGAGAAATGACCCAAGCCTTGTATGCACATATGAATAATAAAAAAATAAATTTTAAAAAAGGCTAAAAAAAAAAAAAAGTTCCAGAAGAGGATGGAAGTTGGTTAGAAAAGCAATATTTGAAGTAAAAATTGCTAAGAATTTCTAAAAAAAGAAAAAAGAGTTGTCAGTGTGGTTCTTCCTCACGGTCCACCCATGTGAAGGCAGAAAGAGGAACCCGGCATCAGGTGGCAAACTGAGTAGCAAGGACACATGCACCTGTGAGGTCTATTCTCCCCCATGGGTGTCCACTCACCTTTGGGAACAACATTAAATGCATTTTTAAGCACCATTATGAGCCAGATGTGGTGGTGCACATTTGTAATCCCAGTATCTAGGAGGTTGAGGCAGGAGGATTGTGAGTTTGAGGCTAACCTGGGCTACATAGCAAGACCCTGTCTCAAAAAAATAAATAAATAAAAATAAAAACACCATGGAAAATTTACAGAAAGACTAAAGAATTTAATGCCTTTAACATTTTTTCTTGACCAACAGGCTCCTCATTGCACTTGGTCCTACAAATTGTGTAGCCAGCACTACCCACAGGACCATGGGTAAAATAAGAGGAGCATTTCCTTCACACAAGAAATGCTCATCCCACATGTCAATCAGAGGCAAAAAAAAAATTTAAAGGAAAACATATGTCTGTTGGAAAGGTCTATTGATTGCAGAGCCATGGTCTGAAGCCCTAAGGAAGAAACCTGCTAAAGAGTGACTGCCCGGGGTGCCAGCAATGTGGAGAGGGCTAGAGATGTGGGGGGTGATGCCACAATGGGAAGAAAAGAGAATCAGGACCCATCAAAGTCTCAGTGAGACTGGAGTGCTCTGCCCCAACTGCACTGTTTGTCCTAGCCGACCTCAAGCATCGGAAGGGAACACAGACACTTTTTGAGAAAGACCCTTCCTGGAATAGGGCTCCTGAGATGTGAGGTCCAGATCAGGAACCCAACTGCTCAGGTCTAAGGGAGATGTGTTTCAAGTCTTCCCATCCTCATAGCAGATACCATCTTTACTTTGGCTTAAAGTCACAGTTTCTAAATCTCAAAATTTAAAAAAAAAAGCCACATCTTTCAGAATCTGTCAGGAGACCAGGATCTCCTGGCTCATTACTGTGTAAATGACTCAGTCACTGCCTTTCTCTGGGCCTCAGTTGCAAGTCAGTAACTGAGACTCTCAGAAATAATTTTCCCTGCATCTTCCCAGAACATAAATTCATGACAAGAGGCTCAGCTGGTTTTCTGACTTTTACAGTTGCCTTTATAACTTATCTTGAATTATTCTCTTGAATAATACACACAAAGCACTCAATAATGACCAAAGAAGTCAAGAGGCCTGGAGAATTAGTCAGATGTAGGAAAGTGC